TGCTATACTATCCAAAACTTCTAGTTTTCAACAAAAAAAATCATGAGACATACAAAGAAATAAGAAACTGTGTGCTCCATACATGGCGGATGGGAAAGGGAAGCAATCAATAGGCACTAACTCTGAGGGGGCAAAGATACTGGACTTAAAAGGCCAAGACTTCAAAGCAGCTATTTATAAATATGTTAAATAATTGAAGGAAGTCGTGATTAAAGAATTTTTTAAAGTATGATGTCTATGACTCATGAAAGAGCAAATATAAATAAATACAAATTATAAAAAAGAATCAAATGAAACACTATTCGTAAGAGCCAAAAGTGGAGATAATTCAAATGTCTGTCAACTGATTCATAGATAAACAAAATGTGGCATATTCATATCCACCTAATGGAACATTACTTAGCCATAAAAAGGAATGAAGCACTGACACATGCTACAACATGGATGAACCTTGAAAACATTAAGCTAGGTGAAAGAAGCCAGATGCAAAAGGCCACATATTGTATGATTCCATTCGTGTCATGTCCAGAATAAGCAAATCCATCAAGACAGAAAATAGATCAGGGGTTGCTAGGAGTTAGGGCAAGTGGGGAAGTAAGAGTAAGTGCTAATGGGCACAAGATTTCTTTATGGGGTGATAAAAATGTTCTGGAATTAGACAATGATAATGGTGGCATAGCCCTGTGAATATACTAAATACTACTAAACTTTATACTTTAAAATGGTGAATTTTGTGTCGTGTGAACCTCGATTTTAAAAACAGAACCAATGGAAATCATAAGTTGAAAAGCATAGTAACAAAATTTAACAGATGAGAACGATGAATAATAAATGAACTTAAAGATCAATAGCAACTACCCAAAACGAAAATCATAGGAAAAAAAGACCTAATAACCATAAAGAGAATCAAAGAGCTATAAGGATAATACCAAGTATACCAACTAATATGTACCAGACATGAGAGGGAAAAAGCTGAAAAAAATATCTGAAAAGATGCAGCAGAAAACTTTCAAACTTTGATGAAAAATAATAATCTACCAATACAAGAAGATAAATTAAACTCCAAGTGGATAAACAGAAAGAGATCTACACCTTGAGTCACACTACTAAAAGACAAAGGCTAAATTCTGAAAGCAGCAACAGAAAAGGACTTCTATACCAGAACTACAGTAAAAGTTAACAACTTCTCATAAAGAACAATGAAAATCAAAAGGCACTGAAATGATAAATTCAAAATGCTAAAAGAAAGAGTTAATCAATAATTCTACATATCCAGAAAAACTATTCTTTAAAAAAAGGGGCACCTGGGTGGCTCAAGTCGTTCAGTGTTTGCCTTCGGCTCAGGTCATGATCCCGGGGTCCTGGGATCGAGCCCCACATCGGGCTCCCTGCTCAGCGGGAAGGCTGCTTCTCCCCCTCCCACTCCCCCTGCTTGTGTTCCCTCTCTCGCTGTCTCTCCCTGTGAAATAAATAAAATCTCAAAAAATAAATTAATTAATTAAATAAAATAAAAATGAAGGGCAAACAAAAACACTTCCAAAGACCAAGAAAATCTATTGCTAGTAAACCCGCCTTACACACACACAAAAAGAAACTACAGGAAATCCTTCAAGCTGACAACATACGGTAATTCAAATCCACCTGAACAGATAAAGAACACCAAAAAAAGGTAAATACGAGGGTAAATAGAAAAGACTATATAAATATATGTTCTTCTCTTTTATTCTCCTTAACTTGAAAAGACATCAAATCGTTAACACTATATTGTTGAGTTTATAATACATTTGAGATATACATATGATAACACAAAAAAGGAGTGAATAGAGCTTTATGGAGCAAACTTTCTATATTTTACTGGAATTAAGTTAATATTAATCTCAAGTAAAGTGTCATAAATTAAGATGCATTATTTTAATCCCTAGAGCAACCATTAAGAATATAACTTAAGGAATACCTGGGTGGCTCACTCAGTTAAGTATCCAACTCCTGATTTCGGCTCAGCTCATGAGCTCAGGGTGGTGAGATCCAGCCCTGCATCAGGCTTTGCCCTAAGCAGGGAGTCTGCTTGAAGTTCTTTCTCTCCCTCTCCCTCGGCCCCTCCCCCCACTCCTGGCTCGCTCACTCTCTCAAGTGCTCTCTCTAAAATAAATAAATCTTTAAAATATACATATATACATATATTAAAAAAATAAAAGGGAAATTTAAATAGTACAATAAAAAATATTTAACACAAAAGATGACATAAAGGAGAAACAAAAGAACAAAAAATACATGAAATATATAACATATAACAAAATGGTACATTTAAATATAAAAGAACCAAATATGCCAATCAATGACAGTAATTTTGAGACTGGACAAAAAAAAAAGATCAAACTATATAGTGCATGTAAGAGATACCCTTTAGATTCAATAACACTAATAGGTTGAAAGCAAAAGACTGAAAAGAAAGCAGCAACCCTCTCAGGTCCTCTCCCTCCTTGGGAGCTTTGTGCTATCACTTTGCTATCTCTCAATAAGCCTTGCTTTGCTGCCCCTCCACCGATGAGAAAAAAAAAATGAAAAGAAAGGTTCCATGCAAAAAGAGACCTAGAGTGTTCTTTATTAAATAGTGGTCTATATTAAAATCATACAAAATAGACATTAAGACAATAAATACTACTCAGGTCAAGGAGGGCCAATTAAGACAATAAATACTACTCAGGTCAAGGAGGGCCAATTCATAAGGCTAAGAAAATCAACTTATCAGGAAGCTATACCCACTATATATATACATGCACATGACAACAGAGCCCCAAAATAAATAAACATTAACAACTGAAAGGACAAATAGAAAATTCAACAATAATAACTGGAGGCTTCAATACCTCCCTCTCAATAACTGACGGAACTAAACAGAAAAGCAGCAAAGATACAGAAGACTTAAACATCACTAACAACTAACTTGAACTAAAATTTACATAAAATTCCACCTGACAACAGAATATATATTCCTTTCAAGCACACATGGAATATTCTCCAGGACAGGTCATATGCTAAGAAATATGAGATCAGGTCTCAATAACTTTAAAAGAATTGAAATCATATAACACATGTTTTCTGACCATGACCACAAAAAAACTAGAAATCAACAATAAAAGAAACTTTAGGAAATCAACAAATATTTGGAAATTAAACAACATTTTTCCTAAATAACCAATGGGTCAACAGAAAAATCACAAAAGAAATAAAAAAATGCACTGAACTGAATAAAAATGGAAACAAAGCCTAAAAAGTTATAGGATGAGGTTCAAGCAGTGCTAAAAGGAAAATTTATAGTTGTAAATGCCTATGTTAGATAAGAAGAAATATCTCAAATCAGTAATCCAAGCTTCCACTTTAAGGAATTAAAGAACTAGATAAACAGCAAAGCAAATCCAGAGCAAGCAAAAGGAAGGAAATAAAGTTTAGAGTAGAAATCAATAAAATGAAATAGAAAAATGAAACAGGAAATACAGAAAAATCAACAAAACCAGGTTAGTCATCTTTTTTTAAGATTTACTTGACACAGAGAAAGAGAGAACGAGCAGGGATAGATGAATAAGCAGACTCCCCCCTGCGCAATGGAGCCTGATGTGGGGCTCTATCCCAGGACCCTGAGATCATGATCTGGGCCAAAGTCAGACGCTAAACCGACTGAGCCACCCAAGCACCCCAACAAGGTTAGTCTTTTGAGAAAATCAACAGTTATCAAACTTTTAGCTAGATTGACCAAGAAAAAAAATAAACACGATACATACAAATTACCAAAATCAAGAATGGAAGAAAGGACATCACTACCATCCCTATAGAAATCAAAGACATTATAAGGAAATACTATGAATAATTTATGCTAACAAATTATACAATTTAGATGAAAACTCCTGGGAAGGAACAAAATACCAAAGCTGATTCAAGAAGAAAGAGAATATCATAATAAACCTGTAACAAGTAAATAAACTGAATTAAGATTTGAAATCTTCCCAGACCAATTCTAATATTAGATACATACCTAAGAGAAATGAAAAGATAGGTCCACACGAAAAACTTATATGCCAATATTTATAACAGCATCATTAGTAATAGCCAAAAGGGAGAGACAACCCAAATGTGCTCAACTGATGAATGGATAAACAAAATGCAGTATATCCATGGATCCATACAAAGGAATACTATACAGCCACAAAAAGAATGAAGTATTGCTACATGCTACAACATGGATTAAACCTTTAAAACATAATGCTAAGAGAAAGAACACAATTCTGTTCACAAAGCCATCAAAAGAATAAAATGCACAGAATAATTTTAACAAAAGAAGTGCCAAACTTATACAATGAAAATTGCAAAACACTGCTGAGACTAATTAAATAAATGGAGAGTCATTTCATGTTCATAGATTGAAAGACAATATTGTTAAGAAACAATTTTTCCCAAATTGAACTACAGATTTAATACATTTCCAATCAAAATTCCATCAGAATTTTTTGTTTATATGGACAAGCTGATGCTAAAAATTTTTATGGAAATTCAAAGGACTCAAAATTGCCATAACAATTCTGAAAAAGGATGACTAAATGGGACAACTTACACTATCTGATTTCAAAACTTATTATAAAGCTAAAATAATCAAGAAAATACAGTGCTGTTATAAGAACAGGCACAAAGATCAATAAAACACATCAAAAGTCAAAAAATAAACCATTACATTTACATTCAATTCATTTTCAGCAACAATGCCAAAGTAATTCAATGGTGGAAAAGACGGCCTTTTCAACAAATAGTGCTGGGACTATTGGATATTCATGTGCCAAAAGATGAATTTAGGCTGCTACTTCACACTGTATACAAAAATTAACTATGGATCATAGACCTAAATGTAAGACCAAAACTTGTAGAAAAGAACACAGGAGACTTTTAATCTAAGAGTTCTTGGATATGACCAAAAAAAAAGTATGATTCAAAACAAGAAAAAATTGCGCAGCTTCGGAAACATGGCGGAGGAAGAGCAAAGAAAAAAGATCCCACTGGTTCCAGAAAATCTCCTGAAAAAGAGGAAGGTTTATCAGGCCCTTAAAGCCACTCAAGCAAAGCAGGCACTTTTGGACAAGAGGGAGCAGAAGAAAGGAAAACAGCTCAAGTTTAAGCGACTGGAGTGGTTTCTACATGACTCCTGGCGGCAGCAACGTGACAGGGTGCGCCTCAGACGACTAGAAGTGAAACCTCGTGGCCTGGAAGTGCCAGATAAACATTCCTTGGCCTTTGTTGTCCGCATCCAAAGGATTAATGGGGTGAGTTCACTGGTGCAGAGGACCATTGCACGGCTTCGCCTGAAGAAGATTTTCAGTGGTGTCTTTTTCAGAGTGACCCCCCAGACCATAAAAACGCTGCGTGTAGTGGAACCTTATGTGACCTGGGGATTTCCAAATCTGAGGTCTGTCCGGGAACTCATCTTGAAACGTGGACAAGCCAAGGTCAAGAATAAAACCATCCCTTTGACGGACAACACAGTGATTGAGGAGCACCTGGGGAAGTACGGTGTTATTTGCTTGGAAGACCTCATTCATGAAATCGCCTTTCCGGGGAAGAATTTCCAGGAGATCTCTGCGTTCTTACGTCCTTTCCATCTCTCAGTGGCCCGTCATGCTACCAAGAATAGAGTGGGTTTCCTCAAGGAGGTGGGCTTACCTGGCTATCGAGGTGAACGCATCAATCAGCTCATTCGGCAGCTGAATTAAACCCAGAAACTAGAGAGAGGGTCAAAGAAAAGAGGATGATGCTCCTGGCAAGCACTTGTCATCACAGCCCAGTTCCAAGGGAAAGTTCCAGTGTGTTTTCCACATTGGCTGCCCCTACCACCTCTGAAGTCAGCGGGGGACTCCTGCCACAGAAGAGGGAGTCCTGCTGTGTCACATCGTCTATCTTGGGATTTAAAGTTGGTGAACGAATACCCAAGCATGAATACAAGACAGCAGTGGACCAAGCTCAGGGACGTACTTGAACCTGGGGGTTCCTGGGGCCTTGTTTTGGAAGGAACTTGAAATATAATTACAGAGTACGAAAACAGTGAAAAAAAAAAAAAACAAGAAAAAATTGATAAATTAGACTTCATCGAAACTAAAAACTTTTGGGGAACCTGGGTGGCTCAGTTGGTTAAGCCCCTGCCTTCAGCTCAGGTCATGATCCCAGGGTCCTTGGGATCGAGCCCCGCACTGGGCTCCCTGCTTGGCGGGAAGCCTGCTTCTCCCACTCCCACTCTCCCTGCTTGTGTTCCTGCTCTTGCTCTCTCTCTCTCTCTGTCAAATAAATAAATAAAATCTTTAAAAATATAAAATAAAAACTTTTGTACTTCCAATGACCCCATTAAGAACATGGACAAGCCACAGATGGGGGGAAAAATATTTGCAAAACACATATGTGATAAAGGATATGGATTCTGGATAACTTGTATCCAGAATATATTCAGAACTCTTACAACTCAATAATAAGACAACCCAACCAGAACTGGACAGATCTTAACAAACATTTCACCAAAGTATATGAATAGGCACATGAAAACAAGCTCAACATCATTAGCCATTAGGAAATGGAAATTAATTAATACTATAGTGAGATACCACTAAACACATACTAGAACAGCTATAAATTAAACTCTTACACAATTGGTGAAATTGTGTAAGAAACAGAGCCTTCATACATTACTGGGGAATGTAAAACAATACAGTTACTTTAAAGAACAGTTTCTTAAAAACATAAACTTACCATAACACCCAGCAATTCCACTCCTCAGAATCTACCCAAAAGAAATGAAAATATATATCTACACATAGATTTGTAGACAAAAATTTGTTGGCAACAGTACTGGACAAAGGGTCAAAAAACTGAAAACAATCCAAATGTCCATCATTTTGTCAATGGATAAACAACATGCAGTACAATCTATGTAAGAGAATACTATTCAGCAACATAAAGGAATAGAATACTGATACATGATAAAATACATACATATATACATACATAACAGGTAACATATTTAAATTGTTCAAAGTTGGGGGCGCCTGGGTGGCACACTCAGCATTGGATTCTTGGTTTTGGCTCAGATAGTGATCTCAGGGTCGTCAGATCGAGCCCCATGTCAGGTTCCTCATTCCAGTGCACTGTCTGCTTAGAACTGTCTCTCCCTCTCCCTCTGCCCCTCCCACCCACCCTGTACACATGTGCAGGTTGTTAGTTGGTATGCTTAACCAACTGAGACACCCAGGCACCCCTAATGCTGCCTTTTTTTCTATAAGCATAGACTGCTTGCCACATAGAGCTGTAAACCAAGAATAGCAAAGAACAAATACTGTATCAACTTGATTTGACCTTTTATCCTAAAGATCTGCAGTATGCCATAAGCAGAGCCACATTCATCATCTCAGCCTGGTTTACACAAAAATGAAAAATTAAGCGATGAAGTCAATTATTAGAAATCTTACTGGTACTACAAACTTTCCTATTATTATTTTCATTTCTATTAGTGTAAAGTCATAAATTTATAATATCTTTCAAAAGATCAACTTTCTTCAGTAAGTTAAAATAAGTCATAAAAAATAATTTCCTTTTGTAGATCCACTGGCATCAGGAAAATTAAAAATCCCAATATTCATATACTATTCATATACTTCATGTGTTCTAACAATTACATTTATACAAATGAGTAGTTTAAAGAAAGGAAGTATGGCACAATCGCCTAGCTTTTTTCTAGAAGTCTAAAGGCAATAGGAAAATTGTGGTCAATAAAGACACTGATACCAACTAACAACCTGCACAAGCTCAATACAAAATAAATTAGGAAATTATTATTTAAAACAATAAAGAACTCTGGGGCACCTGGGTGGCTCAGTTGGTTAAGTGTCCAATTCTTGATTTCAGCCTAGGTCATGATCTCAGAGTCATGAGATGGAGCCCTGCGTCAAGCTCCATGCTGGGTGTGGAGTCGGCTTGGGATTCTCTCTCTCTCTCTCTCCCTCTGCTCCCCCCCACCCCTGCTGGCACTCTCTCTTTAAATAAATAAATAAATATTAAAAATAAAATAAAATGATAAAGAGCTCAGAATGAAAACATTTCATGTCAAGAAACAGAAAACATGGGGCGCCTGGGTGGCTCAGTTGTTAAGCATCTCCCTTCGGCTCAGGTCATGATCCCAGGGTCCTGGGATCAAGCCCCACATCGGGCTCCCTGCTCTGCGGAAAGCCTACTTCTCCCTCTCACTCCCCCTGCTTGTGTTCCCTCTCTCACTGTGTCTCTCTCTTTCAAATAAATAAAAATCTTAAAAAAAAAAAAAGGAACAGAAAACATTAATATCCAATGATTCTAGTCACATAATTTGTACTAGCCTATCTCTCTAAAATTATATAGTGATTATTTTTGCTCTATCTCTTACACAAATTAGCACAATTATAACAAAGTGAATATGAACTTAGAGTGGTTTCTATCCCAAAAAGTATAACACTAAAACACACCTCAAAAAGTGAAGGCAACAACTAAAATTTCATGATACTTAAATTTTTTCTAATGTACTTCAATTATGATGGAGTGAACAAGATAATCCTAAGCCTTTTGCATCAATTTTTTAAAAAGTATGAATCAAAAATCTTATACATTTCTGCACTAAAAACAGAAGATATGTCAAAGACGTTGTTTAGCAACTAAACTTCTACTTATTTTAGTGAATAATGAAATTCAACAGTAAATAACATTTTCTGTTAAAAAAATAAAACAACTTGAATCCCACCTTACTACAAATTTGAAAACAAAATATATTTAATGAAGTACAAAATAGTTCAGAAAGACTATCAAACCTTGAAAAAATCTTCAAGTTGTTTACTGTTATAAAGAGCAGGGATATTGGCAGAGAACTGCAGCAAATCTTCAGCACACTGTCTTCTCTCTTCAATAACAGTTTCATCAAATCGTCCTAGAATCAAATAAGAACCAAGACTTAAGGAAGGAAGGAAGGTTTATGGGAGTTTACGTTGACAGCTCAGAAAGCAGCAGCAGGCCGATCACTGCCTTACTACACAGTCCTCTAAAGTCAAGTCTTCACTATCGGAATCAGTGTAATCTCCCCCCCAAAAAACAACAGTGTTTCTGATACAACAAGAGACAGAGGTGTGAACTGATAAATCAATGATGCAGCCCTACTTAAAGGCCTGTCTGTGTAAGAAACATTAACATTTAAGAAGCTGGTGATTTGAAACTCAAGCTAAAAAGAGAATTCTAAAGAACTCAAATGGTTTTCCATAGTAATTTAATACTGTAATTACTCATATAATTTTCCCTTTCCCACTCTTTTTGATTTATAAAGGAGCTGAAGAGAGGAAATTATGAGAACATCTGTATATCAGTGGGGTCAAAAACCTCAGCTTGAAGCAAAAAAGCTTTGAAGCCAAACTCCACATGTGCCGCTGTCAGCGTACGTGACAGCATGCATGTGAGAAAAAAGACGGTGTGCACCGCACCAGCGAGCTCTGATTTACAAGGTGATCGAAAGGTGGTTTTCATAGAATTTTTTTAATCCTATATACAATTTGAATGCTGATAAGAAATTTTAAAATAGATCATTTTGTATTCCTCTTAGATCAGATTCCTGGTTGGCATTTGTCACATGCCATGTAGTACAATCCAGGCTTCAAAAATACAAAATCAAAAGAGGAGCATCAACCCATAAACATTTTAAGTGGCTTTGCAAAATGTCAACAGAAACCTGAGGCACAAAGAGATTCCTAGTTATATAACCCAGAACAAGAATTTGAAACTGAACCACTAAAAACTCTCAGCTCAATGTGTCTCATGCTTATGGTGAAGTATCTACTTCATGAAAACTAAAAGAAATGGTTTTAGAGTTAGACCTGGTGTAAATCCTAGCTCTATCATTCACTAGCTATGAAATCTTAGGTTATTTCTTCATTTGTAAAATAGAGAAAATGAACAATGTACTTAAGAATCCCAGTTCCATGACAAGCACATAGTTAACAATAATCATGATGCCTTTGAATGTTCAAGTGTCATTACAGTGCCTAGCATACACAGCATGCTAATTAACTCATACCTAACTGTAAGAGTGAATGGTGGAAATTTAGAAAAATTTTCAAAAAGAATAGTCTTAACAGTGGAACATTCTTAGAAAATAGTCATCTTACATTCTTAGAAAATAGTCATCTTTCATTAATAAAAAATCTTAACAATGGTCCATAAACAACCTACTCGGCTTAATGGATGGGTTCCAGAGACAACAGTCCTACAAAATTCCATGCATGTGTCCGCAGGTACCTTTTTCTAGGGAACAAGTCTGTAACTTTTATCAGCATCATCAAAGAGCCTGGGGCCCAGTAAAGGTTAACAGGCCGGAGGCAGTCAATTAGAGGATCCCTAACATTCAGGACACTGCTTTATTTATATGTAACAAGCTGCCAGTTGCTAGCCCAGTGTCTGTTTTCACCTTCTTCCTTAGTAAAATAATTCCCAATTTCTAACTATGGACAAGGCAACCCAGAGGAAAAAAACACTACATTCCCAGCTTGCCTTGCAGTTGCATGTGGACATGGACTATGCTCTTGCCAAAAACATAAAAACAAAAGTTGTACTGTAGCTTCCTAAAAATCTCTTTAAGAGATAGCCTTTTTGGGGCACCTGGGTGGCTTCGTTGGTTAAGCATCTGCCTTCGGCTCAGGTTATGATCCCAGGGTCCTGGGATCGAGCCCCACGTCAGGCTCCCTGCTCAGTCCCTCTCCTCCCCACTTGTGCTCTCTCTCACTATCTCTGTCACTATCTGTCTCTCTCTCTCAAATAAATAAAGTCTCTTAAAAAAAAGAGAGAGAGAGAGAGAGAGAGCCTTTCCTTCTTTCTCCTTGTCCCTTTCCAGGAAGGACTGTGACGTGGAAGGTTAAAAGTGACAGAGCAACATGACAGGAGCTTGGATTCCTGATCACTGTGGAGCTGCCCTGCCTGGAGCTACCTTCAGATTTCACACCATGAGAAAGAAATCGACTTCTATCTGGTTTTAAGGTTT